ATATGGTGTGGCCACGATGTCCTGGTAGTGGTGGGCTGCGGCTGCTCTCGGTGGTGGTGGTGGACCGGGCCGGATCCAGGTGGAACGGTCCCGCAGCTGGGGGCATTCCCTTTTATAATGTCCCCATTTCTGGCAGTGGTGGCAGGGGCCCGACGTGGGCTGGCTGAAACGTGGCTGTGCAGCGGGCGGTGGTGGTGGTGGCAGTGGTCTCGGTGGAGCTGGACTGTAGCTGTTTCCCCCAAAGGTTTTAAAAGGGACTTTTGGAGCTGCAGGTTTTTGCTGCCTGCGTGCATCTAGGTACTCATCTGCCTTCCTGGCTGCTTCGGTAAGGGAGTTAGGGTTTCTGTCTCTTACCCACTCCTGTACCTCGCTGGTTACTCCTTCATAAAATTGCTCCATCAGTACCATTTGTAATACATCCTCCATAGACCGTGCCTTGCTCGCTTGCACCCACCCCAGGACTGCCCTTTGTAGTCTGCATGCCCACTCGGCATGTGAGTCTTTCTCCACCTTCTTTAAATCCCTGAATCTCCGCCGGTATGCTTCTGGTGTTATAGCATACCTGGCCAATATAATTTCTTTAACTTTATTGTAATTCCTTATTTCTTCATTGGGTACAGTACGATATGCCTCAGCTGCCCTCCCAGTTAACCTTCCTGCCAAAATGGGTACCCAGTCCTCTGCGCTGATTCTATGCAGTGTACACAGTCTCTCAAAATCTTGCAGGAAAGCGTCTATATCTTCCTCTGCCTCCACATATGTTTTAAAAGCCTGGTATGGTATTTTAGGCTTACCTTCTTGTGGCATATTTACTGCAGAGCTGCGTTCTGGGGTTGCTGTTTGATTTCTCAGTACAAATTCCTGGACTTCCGTCATAGTTTTTGAAATAATTTCTGCTGGAGGGTGTTCCCCATAGAAAGATAGCCTAAATTGTAGCTGCCTCTGGAACTCCCTCTGTTCCGGTGTTTCTCCCGAATTCCCCTGTTCGGGAACCGAATCGCCCTCCATTTGGTACTCTGCCATAAGTTCAGTAATGAGTACCGCTTTCTTCTTATTGCTGGCTTGTATACCCCTTGCCTCCAGGAGGTCTTTTAGCGTGGAGCGTTTTAGTGTGGCAAAATCAATCTCCATCCGTACTCCATTTATGCTTGTTCCTCTGTGAGTCTGGATCCCAGCGCTGCCACCAACGTAGCGGAGATGCAATATTCCCCAGGTTATCTCCGCTTATAATCCAAGTGAGGCTCAGGAACAAGTAAATAGTAACTCCACAGGCAAGGCTTCCAGCAGGTAAAATACAGCAATATCCCAACAGCAATCCCAATAACTGGACGACACACAGTTTCAGGAGCAGAACTGAAAGCTTTAATCCACAGTCTCCTTTTAAAGCATGCTCCCATGCAAGGGAGGAATTTACAATCATTATTACAGTAGCCAATCCTGTCCTGGTAACCTCCCACACATCTCCTCCCCTCAGCCAGCATCATAATCCCCTTATCCAGTACAGTAATTCCCCCCGTTTCTGGATGTACCCCTAAACGTAGGGGTACCGCTTTAAATCCTACATCCCCAGATACCCCTGATCTGGGTGAACAACATATCCAAAAATCACCCAGATCAGACCAGGGGTTCGGGAAATGTATGGAGGGAATAAAATGACCGACCGCACTAACTGAGATAGCCGAATGAGGTTCCATGCGAATGGGCCCTGCGGTCGGTCCTGGCATAAGGGAATAAAATACACGAAAACCTCTAGCTATAGAGGCTAGGGAGGGTTCACCTGAATCCCCTCGTTCGGTTCTTTCTATCTACCGAACGAGGGGCCGTTCGGTAGTTAGGAACCGAACGGACCGGGCTTGTGGAGGTCTCAGCGGTGTTCGCCTACTCGAGTGTCCGATTTTAGTTCCAGACACTCGACGGCAAAACACCGCTGTTCGGGAGTTTTAAAATGGCCGCCGCCACGTGTTCGTTTGTCGAATGGCGGCCACCCCCGAGAACAAAGGACGGCTACTTACTAGGCAATTACCCGTTCGCAACAATGTTGCAACGGGTAATTGAGGACACACTTCACACAGGGGAGGTCTGGTTGTTCGGTAGTTTCATTCGAATGAACTAAGGGAATGAAACTACCGAACAATCAGAGGAATACAATTCTTTTAAAAGACATATAACACAGTAGATCACACGAATGCAGTTATGTACAATATATTTGCAGGATAGCCTGGTGCCATCCGCTACAATTACATTTTTGCCAATATTTGGTAGTCTTGTCTTATTATTAAAGAGGCACTTTGAGCACCATTATAGTGGTTATGGAAATATGAGCAAATGGGTGCCACCTTGCAGTTTTTTGACCAAGTGATTTGGGTGGTTTGTCAAACATGGAGCATTTCACACTGCAAATCCATCCATCTATGAATGGCTTGACAGGCTGAGAGTTTTCTGTAAAAGTTACTGATTTACAATGTTTATATAATGATAATGAAAAACAAGGGATGAAATTATTCCTGTAGGGCTTTTTTAGAATCAAACTCACAATTGATGTTTGAAACCCATATCAGTGATCATGTTGCCCCTTTAATTCATACGGGAAACATGCCTTCTTAGATTTACACAGTTTGATGTAGTGTTTCAATAATAATAATAATAATAATTTAATAATACTAATTTAATGAGCACATGCAGAGCCAGATTAAGATTCGTTTGGGCCATAGGCAGGGTTTCAGATTAGGGCCCCTCCTAGAGTCATGGTCTCTGTGAGAGGGGGTGAGAGGGGGTTGTGTGTGCGCACGCTCTGGTTGAGTACTTTGTGTGTGGTGGCTGAATATTGTGTGTGTAGGGAAGTCTGAGTGTGGCTGAGTGTTTTGTGTATGTTTCCCCCCTTGCTTATCTACCCTGGCAGTCCAGTGGAGATTGGGCTTGTTCCCAGGATGTCTAGTGAGGGAGCTCCATCATCTGTACCAATATCAGGTATAGACCATTTTAAGAGTGCCCTCGAGGATCTGGCAATCAGCCAATGACTAATAGCGCGGGCCATGGTGCTCTGATTCATCCAGGAGCCCCGGGGGAACTACACGGGTGTACAGACAGTGGTCTGTACATGATATAGATACAGACCACAACACTCCCTCAATAAAGTGAGGGAGCATAGGGCTGTGCAGAAAGATCTCTTGGTCTCCCTCACAGGTCGAGGACAACCTGCTCTGAGCCAGAACTCAATGCCTGGGTCCTAAGGCAGCCACCATGTCTCCTAATGGGTAGGCTGACTCTGAGCACATGCTTTGCATAACACATGGGCAGACTTTGTGCAGCAGCCATATTGTTTTTAACGAGTAGTACTATATTCCATATTATGGTATTTTAAATACCTTGATGGGGTGATGGTCGTACGCATAGCATGTTGCTTAGAAAGTGCTCATGTCAGTTTTAATTCACAGACAGCAATAAAATTCCTGTCAGGGAGGACAGCTGTTATCTGTCAAAAAACATTTGGATGGTTCAGTACTTATTCCATATTGTAATTTACAAACTTTATCCGTTTTCCATCCCTTCGGTCATAATGTTTTCCCCATAGATATTTAGATTGTTAGCATATTTCTTCTTAATAAATTTATTTAATACAGTGTTTTTTTTTCTGATTTAGTATGGCGTTTGTTATACATCTTACCCTTATTGCAATAACCAGAATAATATTTATAATATGTCCTAAAAATGCTAAATGTAGTATTATTGGAATAAACCTAGAAATAGTGAGAGAAGTTCAATTACTGGATATAACATTGCCACAGATCAAATACACGCCGTGATGGATGACTCTATTATTCAGACAGTCTCTGCCCCTATCTCTTCAGACGTTAGCCTAATGTCTGTAATTTTATGAAAATTCATAACGTGGAAAATCTCGGGAGAAGTTATGGGGAGTAAATGGTCATCTTCTTTATCACATATATAGTATCTGCTGAGGATTTTGTTGACATGGGAAAAGAGAGAGACTTTATCCGGTAAAATCAATCAAAAGAGAAAATGGCTGGATGGTCACAGATAGGATATATAGAAAAGTAATATTAGGAAAATGATTGAGAGTACCACGCTATCAGATGCTAAAATCGTAGTATAAGTAAGGAAAATCTAAAAATCTAGGTACAGTCAATTTAGTTTAGACTTTACAATTAGTCCCTGAGTCCATACCACCAGAATAACAAAGGGAAAAAAAGAGGGTACAGGGAAATACAAAAGCCAGTGGCGTACACTCCAGGGGGCCCGGCCGCCCTGTGACCCGGTATGCACGCCAGTGTGGCTACATTTTGGCAGCCTCTTCTCCTGTGGGGCCCAGGAGCTGGCCACCTCAGGGCCCCCGAGGCTGGCAGTGGCTTCAGTTTGCCGGCGGCTGGGCGCGCACGCGAGGGAGCACTCTCCCCTGAGTGCTCTCTGCCCAGCTCCCTTGCGCGCACCGCACTGATGCCGGAGCCGGAATATGACATCATATTCCGGCTCCGGCAACAGTAAGAAGTGCGCAAGGGAGCTGGGCAGAGAGCACTGAGGGGAGAGTGCTCCCTCGCGCACGCGCCCAGCCGCCCAGCAACCCAACTGGACCCCAGGGACAGCAGGAATCCCCACAGCACTCCCAAAGGTAGGGAGGCTGGGGTATTAAATAAAAAAATTATAATGTGAGTGTGTATGTGTGTTAGTGTGTGTGTGTCAGTGAGTGTGTTACTGTGTGTGTTAGTTTGTGTGTGTCTGCTAGTGAGTGTCAGTAAGTGTGTTAGTGAGTGTTACTGTATGTGTGTCACTGAGTGTGTTTGTGTGTCTGTTATTGAGTGTGTGTCTGCTAGTGAGTGTCAGTGAGTGTGTGTGTTACTGTGTGTGTCTGTTACTGAGTGTGTTAGTTTGTGTGTGTCTGTTAGTGAGTGGGTGTTTGTCAGTGAGAGTGTATGTGTGTCTGTCACTGAGTGTGTGTCTGTCAGTAAATGTGTGTGTCTGTTAGCTAGTGTGTATGCGTCTGTTCGTGAGAATGTGTGTGTGTAGTTAAAACCCCTTCAGCACTTACCTTTTTCCAGCGCCGGACTCCCTTGGCGCTGGGGATCACTACGCCCCGATCCGCCTCTCAGCTCTGAATGCGCATGCGCCCATTAAAACCGCCCATAGGAAAGCATTACTCAATTACTCAATGCTTTCCTATGAACGTCCAGTGGAATCGCGGAAGCGCCTCTAGCGGCTGTCAGTGAGACAGCTACTAGAGGCTGGATTAACCCTCAGTGAAACATAGCAGTTTCTCTGAAACTGCTATGTTTTCACCTGCAGGGTTAAAACTAGAGGGACCTGGCACCCAGACCACTTCATTGAGCTTAAGTGATCTGAGTGCCTATAGTGGTCCTTTACGTGTATCTGCATGCACTGGCGGCACGCAGGGGTCGCAGCCCTGCGACTAGGTGCCCGCCACAATGTGTAGCGGCACCGGCCCGTGCAGAGTAAGCGCAGGGGGGGCCACAGATCAATTTTCGCACCGGGGCCCCATGGATCTTGTGTACGTCACTGACAAAAGCCTTATGTGTTTGCTACTTAATCATTGGCTTAACAAAATATATAATTTACATGTTGCCTAGCGAAAATTATCAATATGTGTTTTGGTCTAAGAAACTTTCTACTCTTGAGGATATATGACAATATTTTTTTCAGATGTAAGCTGAATGTCTATAATGAGCAGAAAGTAATGTATAAGGTGATTCTAAAACCATAGTGGAATGATTCAATAGACAAAACCTTTGGATGATCACAAAGCTAGTGTACGAGTTACAACTTCAAGGAAATTTGAGCGATTATTAGGTATTTTTTGTTAAACTTAAAATGAAATGTTTAAGATCATCAAGATCATCATCTTTAATTTATTAAACCCTCACTCTCTTATCTAGAACTACAAACAGCTTTCCATTATTTCTATCTAGAGATTCATTGCACCAAGAGAATCTATCTCAAGTAGGTTTGTCAGATTGGTGGCCTGCGAAATGGGACTTTACATAAACTCAATAAATCCCTCCATTTCATTTTCAGTTTTTATCCCAATACAGCCATCATCCATACTCCTTTCTCCCGAACCACAGAGAATAGTAGGCATCTTGATTGTGTTACATTGAGCCATGTGGAATATGCAGTAAAAGGAATAAATGCAATACATGTTTTGGTTCCAAAGGTCCACTGTAGACAACTTGCCATTATTTTTCATGTAATCAAGCATTCAAAGACAATATTCTCAGTAGTAAACCCTGATTTATGTAAAGATGCATAGTGAAACACTAATTAACTTGTTTGGTTAACATATCTAAAAACTAGAAAATTTTATATGCATACACTGAGATCCACAGACAAATGCTACTTAGAATTCTCACAGTCACTGACAACAATGAAAGCAATCATGATATCATAATGTGCTTCATTGTCTTCTCTACACTTACCAAAATAAGACAGATCATATATATGGATGTGCTCTACATTATTTTTATGAAATTAGCCCTTGAAAATGAAAATGAAGGGCCAGATGGGATACAACCAAAAATAGAAATAAAAGATGTGTTTCCAATGTTAATAAATGTTTAACGGATCCACTGGAGACTGAAATGGAATATAGACTCTTGTAGTTAGGAAACCTAAAAAAAATAGCCAAGCAAAGTAATAAAATAAATAAATACCAGCAGAGCAGCAGATAAAATATGTGTTAGTTCTTTAAAATGCATCCAAAAATTAACACAAAAAGGTGTTAAAATGCAGTTGCGTATGAGATTGAATGACGACCTCTTGAAAACGTAATAATGCGAAGCATATTTTACACTTTTGTAAGGATGACTAGTTATTAGACAAGTACAGAACCTGGGAGGATCCATATTACTCAATATTACCATTATTGGCTGAGCAAAATGGGCAACTTTATGTTTGTTTTAGATACATGTGACGGTTGATCAAAGAATAGAAAACAAGTTTAAATATAGATGCTATTGCTTTGTAGAAGATTGTTTTTTACTTTGAAACTTAATTTTTAACTGTATAATTTATATGCTCTCATAAGTGGGATTACTAAACTCCAATGCTTAACATGTGTGACATGTCATGATTCCCTTTTATTCCAGAAGTTTGGTCCTTAAGGGGTACTTGAGTTGATCACTGGTGGGAAATGATGATGGATAAAAATTGTAGATTATGCTAACGTAACATAGAATTTAAACTAATGTCTTACTATTGTAAGACCCATCCCTAAGAGCATTATATAACATAGTACAATCCCAATAGCCTGTACGAGTAAATAAGATATATGAGAGGGTGGGATAAAATAAGAAAGGGAGAGAAAATACTCGGCTCCTGTCATTACTAAAATTAAGATTATAGGTACACGACGTTAGCATAATCTACAATTAGAAAACACGGAAATTATCTTCACGTGACCAGTCGGCTGAACACATGATATCAGCAAGCAAAGTGCCCAACGAAAATGCCTGCTACGCAGCCGCACCACGTACCGAATGTGCTCCAAAACAAGATTCAATGCCAGCTAGGGATTGAAGCCAGTGTACCCATCTAGCCAGAGTAGTGGCCATTACCGATCGATGTGGTTGGACATATATCAGTAATTGGCCCTTGGAGGAGCGACGAAGCGGCGCAGTAATCTCTATGTAGCGTAATAACGTCTTAACCATGCAGAGTTCAGGATCCTGAGGGAAAAACAAATAAAAAACCGTTGAAGAATCAGTCTTAGTGCATTGAGAAACCGAAAAAAACTACCCCTTCTCGAGTGAACGAGACCCCATCCAAGTCGAAAGCTCGCACGTCAAATACTCGACAAAAGGACACTAAACAGAGCAAAGCGTCAGTTTTGTGGATAGTTGACGTAACGATAATGACGAATTGTCCAGCCAGTCGCGGAGGAAACATAGAACAATGTTGACGTCTCAAAGGCGTGCATATTTCAGCGCTGGAGGACGTGATAATTTAATTCCACGGAGCAGTCTACTAACCAGTGGATCTTGACCAACCGGTAGGCCCTGAATTGAGACATGGGCCGTGGAAATGGCCAAACGTGAAACTTTGATGGAGCGATAAGCTAGTCCCGATGAAAACAGATGAGACAAAGAGTTCAACACTATGGGAATAGGTGCCGTAAAGGGATCAGAGTCTCTTTCCAAACACCAGTCAGTTCATTTGTTCCAGTCATTAATGTAGCTGTGCCTAGTGCCTGGCGCCCACAAGTCCCATAGTAGATCCTTAGTGACCTGTGATAGGCCATCGGCTGACCAGGATCCCCTGAAATCATCCAAGCCACGAGTTCCAGTCAGTCTTGGATGATGAGAGGGTAAGGAGTTCCCTGAGTGTCGGTCAGGAGAGAGGGTCGGTCAGGAGAGAGCGTCTTCGGACGATAGTTCCAATAGGTCCGGGAACCAAGCCTGGCTTGGCCATAACGGTGCGATGAGAAGTAGAGAGGTTCCCTGAGATTGAACTTGGTGGAGGACTCTCGCCAAATTGGAGAATATAGGGAAGGCATATGCTCAGTTCGGTGGCCATCTCTGGAGAAATGCGTCTACCGCCTAGCATTCCGCATCCGGAAGCCAGCTGAAGAATCTGGGAAGTTGATGGTTGGCCCGCAAAGCGAATAGGTCGAGTTGGAATGGTCCCCTGCAGTCGACTAGTCTGTGGAAGATCGTCTCGTGGAGGCCCCAGTTGCTGCTGTCCCTCCAGTGTCGTGAGTACCAATCTGCCATGCAGTTGGATATTCCTGGCGCAGTGTTATGTCGCGGCATAGGCAGAAACTGTATATGTCCTTAGTCACTTCCGATAAAGCCTGAGAGCGAGCACCACCCAGGCGGTTGATATATTGGACGGCCGAGACGTTGTCCATGTGCAGTAGAATGCAGCAATTGGTCATGTAGCGAGCCAGACTGCGAATAGTAAAGGACCCTGCAATCTGTTCCTAGTAGTTATGTAGATCGGTCTCCTCGTCCAACCAAGGTCCTCCCGTGGAAGATTCTGCTCAATATGCTCCCTAGCCCCAGAGGTTGGCATCGGACTCCACCACGGAATCTGGTGATGGGCCAAATATGGCTTTCCCGATCCAAGCCTGCATGTGTTGGAGCCACCAACGGAGTTCCATCCTTACTTTGGTGTCGAGTGGATCCTTCTGGACGTATGAGAAACCAGAACGCAGATAGCATGCCTTCATTCTCTGCATGACCCGATAGTGGAGGGTGCCCGGATAAATTGCCTGTATAGAGGCCGAGAGGAGGCCGACGATCCAGATTACTGAGGGTGTCTGATGGTCCTGGGGTCAAATAGTAGGCAGCCTTTGGTGTCCAAGAAAATTTCTTCATCTTCCGAGGCAAAATCGTTTCTCTTGTCATGTGGGAGGTAACCCTCTGCATAGTTGTCATCTGTGAATTTGGAGTATGAGAATGGTACATCCTGCCATTCGTCGTCTCGGTCCAATTCGGAGTCTTCTGCCTGCCATTTGTCTACCACAACCAGTGATGTGGGTATATAGTCATCCTCCTCCCCCGATGATAGTGTGTGGGGTGGATGTTTGGGTAACGCCACGTGTCTGGGGCGATTGATCGGCTCCTTACCCTTACTCTTAGGGCCCGTTAAGCCATTTTTGTGCCGTTTGGGTAAAGGTGGTAGGCCTTTGATAGAGGCTTCCGAGCCCACAATATCCTCCGTGTCTTGGGCCGTCACCCCTATTGGTTGGGTGGGATTTTTTGGAGGAAGGTGCATCAGTATCTTTGAAATGGCCTTTTCCATGGAGGCTGCAACTGCAGCGTTGATTATGGACTGAAAGTCCTGAGTCTGCTGCGGTGAGTCTGACATTGTGCACCACGGGTCGTCCTCTGGAGTAGAGGACACCATTTAGAACAGCTTGTTACAAGCTAGGCCTGTCAGGGGGGTCCGCCAGCAATGTATATATTGGGGTTTGCCACAGAGGCCGTAAGTATTGATATGTAGATATAGGTATCGAGGCCTTGACCGCAATGCCGGTCTAAGGAGCGGCAAGGAAAGAAAAAAAGGGGATTGTCACCCTTGTAAATATGGGGAGGCATTGAGATTCTCCAATAGCCAGAGGGGGAGAGAGCCTCTAATGTTGGGGAGGTATTGCTAGTGGGGGCTCACCCCAATCAATATGTTTGAGTTAGGTACCGCAGTCAGGGTTAAAACCCTTAATACATTTCCCTGGATGGCACTGATGCCAGGGTACGGACAATAAAGGGTACATGGGGGCCAGGGCCTTTTTTAACGCAGGGCAAAAGGGGCAGCCGCCCCGGACACAGTCATTCCTAGGGGGCCCAAAGCAGCTGCCCCTTGAGCCCACTGGCTGCCGTGGTGCGTGTGGGCCGCGTGGTACTACAACCGCAGGCCGCACGATGAGGAGTCCCATCGGGTGGCCCATGCTGTTAGGGCCAACGGATGGCAATGAGTCTGCAGGGCCCGGTCAGCGCTGAGGCGCTTTAACAGTGCGACTGGGTCCCCTGTGATGAGATCAGCATTAGGAAGAAGTGCAGTCACTTCCTCATAGCTAACACAGAGAGTGCCACGCGGGAGGGAGGAAGGGAGAAGGAGCGCGGACTGGGAGAGAGCCCAACTCCCAACAGCCTCAGACAGCCACTGGACCGCAGGTAGGAAACAGGAGGGTTACTGAAATTGTATATTTTCCATGTGTGTCTGTTTGTGTGTGTATAGCTGTCTGAATGTGTATCAGTCTATGTGTGTATCTGACTGTATGTGTATCTGTGTGTCTGTATGTGTGTTTCTGTGTGTATATATGTCTGTATGTGTATATGCATGTGCTTGTTTATCTGTGTGTGCATCTGTCTGTATGTGTATCTGTGTGTCTGTATGCGTATATGCATGTGTGTCTGTGTATCTGTCTGTATGTGTATATGCATGTGTGTATCTGTCTATATGTGTATCCGTGTGTCTGTATGTGTCTCAGTCTGTATGCATATCTGCCTGTACGTGTGTCTGTATGTGTCAGTGCGTGCCTCTCTGTATCTGTGTGTGTCAATGTTTGCACTTATATGTCATCCTGTGTATATGAATGCTTGTCATTAAGTCTGTCTGTGTACCTGCATGTGTGTCAGTGTGTCTGTATGTGTATCTCTTGGTATGTGTGTCTGTGTATCTGCATGTGTGTCAGTGTGTGCCCCTGTGTATCTGCATGTGTCTGTGTCAGTATGTATAACTGTGCGTCTGTATGTGTTAATTTGTGTCTGTGTAACTGCATTTGTGTCTGTGTATGTATCTGCATGTGTGTTATTGTGTGTATCTGCATATATGTCAGGGTGTATTTGTCTGTTTATCTGTGTGTGTTAGTGTGTGCCTGCATGTTTGTCAGTGAGTGTTTCTGTGTATCTGTATGTGTGCCAGTGTGTATCTGTGTATGCACCTGTGTTTCTGTCTTTGTATGTCTGTGTATTTGAATGTATGTACATGTGTATGTCTGAGCCTGTGTATGTGTGTATCTGCATTTGTGTCAGCGTTTGCATCTGTATGTGTGTGTGTTTTCTTTAGGGGGGAAAATAAGTGTGGCTACGATCTGTGTGTGTGTGTTATTTGTGTTTTCTTTATGCGTGTCTTTGTGTGGAAGGCGTGTTTGCATGCTAGAAAGTGGTAGGGAGGGAACCAGGGGGCCCAAGCTAATGCTTGCCCAGGGTCCAATCAACATTAAAAACGGCCCTGATGGGTCTCACCCCTGCGTGCAGCTGAATTGGACAGACTGCACTAGCAGGCACATTAACAGACCATATAAGGTACCAACATAATACACTATAGTTGAAGAAAGTTAATGCAAAATAGGAAGCCTCCTGTCATGTGGTAAAATCTGGACAAACTTCTACCATTCTTAGAATTTGAATTCAGCAAACTATTTTGATAGTACGCTAGATCTGTAGTGAGGTGCTGAGTTCAGTTTAAGTTAGTTGTAATATGGCATAACCTACTTGTTGGACAGATCCAAACAACTTTACTTGAACACTTGAATAGGCATTCAAATCATGGCAAATACGCTCAGGAGAGATCCATTAGACTCTTAATTCAACTATTAAATAATTAGTTCTCATTAATATATTCTGCCTGAGTTTCTCTGAGCTTGTGTTTTAAATCTGTAAGTAAGGAAAAAGTTATAGTAAAGTTTTCTTTTTTTTTTTTAATTTTAGGACAAATGACACATGTCTCAGTTTTCCTAATGAAAACCAAATTAGGTACATGTAAAATCTTTTGGAGGGCTCTTAAGGGTTTGATAGGCTGATGTCATAACTAGAATCAGCAGCTACACATAATTCTGAATAGGGAAACTGGAAGAGAAAGATTTCAATCAATATTATTGACTACACTTTCTGTACAACTTAAACACTAGATATATATATGTAGAATTTTAGAATATTCCCCAGGATTAACGTGCAGAACACAAGCATTTATTTATGCTATATAGCAGGGGAAGAAATTGGGATTAAAAAAAATATAGGCTTTTTTGATGAGCATACCTTGGAAAACGCCTTTGATTGACCACAGAAACACTCCCTGGAAAACGCCTTTGTTGCCAACAGGAGACTGTATGGGGATAAATTAATCCAGCTTTGGCATCAAATGCTGAGAAATAGTCATTATATTTCCAAACCACATTGTGCCATTGATCACTCCAGCCACATTCAGCTTTTAAAGCATGATTGTCAAGACAGTTCACTCTATCTTAGTGCTTTCAAAACCATTACATCTAGTTCCAAAATGTAACTCATTCTTCTCATGATAATCCCAATCCATAAACAGGATGCACTGTCCTGACTAATGATGTCAGGGGTAATTCTCCCACATGATGGAAGTTGTGCCTTAGGCAACAATCAGTGGAAGACAAACAATGAAAAGACGGGAAAATAGGTCTATAATAAATATGCCGCTTGCAATGCATATGAGTTACCAATGTGAAGCACTAAATCAATATAATGACGAGAGATATTTGACCAACCTCGAATTTGTGTTATACAAGTAATGTTTCATTAAGAAATGGGGTCCATCTCCAAAACTTCTTATCATGTCCCTACCAATAACCCTGCTCAACCAATATTTTGGGCTGCACCAGTGAGCCTTGTGCTTTGTGTTGTATATCTTTGGATGTAGGAAAAATTAAGCTATATTTTAATCTATATCCCACATCAAGACCATAGTTCATATAATTGTGTTTTTTTCTTTTTAAATTAGTTATGCATAAGAATGAACTCAGAAGATCTACAATACTTACTGCATAGCAGACACTTTGGATGTTTGTGCTATTTTGTAGATTAATAGATGAGCAGATGTTTGCTACTTCAACAACCCAACAACATATAAAAGAAGGCAAAGCACAGAACACACGAGTTGGAAGATGGGGAAAATAGAGGCACACAAAGATTAGATGTCTCTTGGCTTCTATACATGCGTTCTAAGTCCTTCATCCATCCCTGATCCTTCTGTAGGAAATTCTATCTCACTACTTGTCTGAGCACAATAAAACCCAGGATTACAATATGGAGGTCAACTTCAGAAAACCAATTCTGAATAATAAAAACCTAGATGTATATAAAATCATATAATAACATATTTGGAAGATGTAGATCACCACCTGTACTGTCTCAAAGGACAATGAAGGATTTCTAGAAAGTGAATCCACTGCCAAAAAAGACAGTGTTTCAACATTAGTATGTGACATATGTGTGCATTACTTTCTTGAGTATGTCACATTTTTATATATATTACACTATATCACAATATCTTGCTTCTATAGAACTTTATCCTGACTGATTCCGAGCCAGACGTTTTTCTCTGTGAATGTTATGAACCTTTGAAAATTAAGTGATGCTCAATGAAACAACAGCACAAAAGTTTCAATACAAAATGATGTGAATCTTCTAAAACTTCAGATAACTGACACAACACCTGAGGTAGACTATAAAATGTAGAAAAAAAGATTTGACGTGGAAAAAGTGGTTTGCTGCCTTACCAGAAAGGCTACTGGATGTGACCTTATTTTGGCATCAAAGAATTTGGCTTGGAGTGTGAGCTCTCAACGAATTGGAGCCTTACACAATAGGAATTTCCTTTGTGTACTGGAGTTGATATCACATTATGACCCCGTGCAGTGAGAACATTTAGAAAAACTGAAGTAAAGCCAGGAGAAAGGGAAAAAATAATACAGGCTCACCACAAGCAACCAAAAAATTAATTATTCTTTGTAAGTGGGAATCTTGTTATAGTGTGCATACTGTTTTAAATAAAAGGCGGAATGTGCTTAGCTCCTTAGCAGGTTCGCTAAATTGTACTAAATGCAGCCAACTATTGTGGAACTGTTAATACGTGCCTCATATGTCAATGTATCAGGAGATAAAATAAAATGATGAGTTTTGTGATATTTTCACAGGTCATAGAGTAATACTTTATTACCTCTTGGAATGTTAAGATTCTTCTGTGTGAGTTCAGATTTGTAATGTTCTTATTTCAGTGCGGTATTCAGTCCTCAAAGTCGATTCTCCACTCTAAAGGAAAGAATACTTGAAGATCAGAAGAAGAATCCATATCTTGGTGTCTAGGAAGTCATGCAGAAAAGAGCTTACCATCTTTTCTAGGTAGAAAAAATGATTGGGTGAAAAGAACATAAATTCCTAATAACCAATAGAGCCTAGTGGTAATGGGTCATGTTAAAGAAACACTAAAGCATTATGAATGCAAACATGTATTCCTAATGATATAGTGTTACTCTACCTAAAAGTGGCCACCCATGTTTTACATGGAAAGGTTAAAATGACAGGACACCTGTACCTAGACCACTTTATTGAGGTTAAGTG